TGAAATATACTTCACATGTCATAAGTCTCCAAATAAATTGTCCTTAATAGAGGTGAAAAGAAATGGATTTTGGGCATAGTATATTTCTATATAAGTGTTCTTCATACAAGTTTGACCTTAAAATTGAGGCCAGGTCATATATCTCATTTCTGTAGAGTAATTGCTTCCTGTCATATATTGTGAAAATTCATCCCAAAATAATCTGGAGAAGGACTTTTATTTTATTAAAATATTCATAGACAAATATCAATGGTTTATGGTGTCATCTGATTAAAGTTTACAAAGCAACACCATTTTAGCAAAGACCTGCTAGCCTATAGGCCTCATCTTCAAGAAATAAAAAAAAAAACAATAACCGCAATACGTGCTATCAAGCTTTGCGTGTACTTGCAGACACATAAGCTGCCTACATGCAGCCACTAATTAGCTATCATTTGTATATCAAAGCAGACAACGGCATTCAAATTGATCTGCCTTGGTTTTTGAGCTTCGTGAATCTCCAACAAGATCCTCTCCAAGACATCTCAACGGCTCCAAAACAAAAAGAGAAAAAGGATTCCGTCAAAAGATTAATTTCTTACTTTCTGTAGATTACTTTTTCTGAACCATGCCATAGGGGTTCAGGTTTTATAATGCTGTTTAATGACTATTTATCATGGAAATAAATCTTCTGTGTGATATTCTGGGTGTCCTTATACCTGGAGATTGGTAATTGATTTCACGAGGTTCAATACTTTATGAAATAGATAAAATCTGTTTGATATATCATGGTTTTGCTTTGTATACCTGTGATGTTGGTAACAATTTTTGCCATGGGCAGTAATAAAAGAAATGTACTGGTACTGGAAGAAGCTAAATTAACTTCTAATCTCTCAGGTAAAAATCTATTACGGCTACATAAGCTAATTACATCTAAAATAATACATTTTTGAAAATGGTATTTAAATTGTACCCAATTTACGTAAGTTATTTGCCGTTAGCATGGGAGTCAATCTCTGTAGTAGTACTGTTTTGAGTTAATTTCCCACTCGATTATCTGGTAAAATTGAAGGCACCAACACACAAAGATCTTGTTAAGTTAAATACTTGAACTTGTCATCTAGACAACACTATTAATTTTCTTTTGAGATGATTTTAAAAGAGAAGTACGTAAATAAACCTTATCTACTAAAGAGACCACCCTATGATAACCATTGTAAGCCTCTTAGGGGAGGGTGGTGCTCGTACAAAATTACCAAAACTGTGCTCATCTTTTCTGGTTTCTTCACTTACCATGAAATATACCACAGAATCAGATACTAGGTCTTATCTGTGTGGTTTGGAGGTCACTGAAGGTTTTCAGTGCATCATACGATCTGTGTGTGTATAGAGGGTAAATATTGGTTCACTTTTTCAAAACACAACCTTGATGTACAATGTTTTGATGTAAAAAAGCTATTTAAGTAATTGTTTTAATTCAACACAACAGCATTACGAAACATGAAGAGAAAATGCCTTTTGCTTAAAGGTATTTGTAAACCATGACAATAAATAAATCGTTTGTTTACAAAGGGAGAGAGATGCAATATATGGATACAGTGAAAGATTTGAATGAGATGGATTTTAATATAAAGATGTATACATATCTTATGCCAAGTGGAAGGTTAGAAAAACTAAAAAAATATACAGACAAATATTCCAAATAGTTCCTTCCTCACATTAAGATTTTCACACGGGACTATTTTCAATAATAAGTAACACTTAAGGAACACACTGTTAGTGTGTTAAGTACCATTGCCATAAAACCGTTGTAAAAATATTTTGAGAAATAAGTTCCCGAAATTCTTGCACTAATTTGAGAGCTAAATGTAGAATGACAATTATTTTGTTAGACCTATTGATTTATAAATTGTTTTAATAATGTTTAAGAAATCAACTTACACTGTTCTATGTCCTGAGGATATACTGATACACAAGCACTTAACAATCAAAATTAGTTGGTATATTAGATAAGTTATTTCTTAAGTTCCATTAAACAATTTATTTACTTGAATTGCAGTGTTTGTGTTAGTGCTGTAAAAGATGCAGGTTTTAATTGATTGAAATGCAGATCCCAAATATTTGGAAGTCTTATTTATATTTCTGGCAATGTAGTTTGTTTGGGACAAAAGGTTAACAAAAGCTTATTGTAATGAATGCTTGTATTGTAAGACTGTGACAGTTTCTGATATACTGGTGTTAATTGCCATCAAAGAATGCTTTAAGGTATGGCAACACATTCATTAACTCATTCACCCCTTAACACACATTTGGACTCTTCCAATTCAAAGGTTGGAATAGTTCATTATGAAATTTCAGGGGTGAACGAGTTAACATGGGGCAATGACCTTACTGAAGGGAGAGCACTCTGTCACAAGAAGATAATTTTATGATAATGCCTTTGTATGGATAATGGTAGCTTCACAATAACCCCTATTGTTAACTGCCATATGCTATACCCATTATTATAAAGAATACGTAGGTGATACATTTGTGTTAAAATAGCTTACAGTAAGTTTTTCAATACAATGGGATTGATTTTGATTTCATCTACAAGCATTATTGTTCACAAAGATTTACACACAGATGTGGTCATATGACTTTTGTGTTCCCAAACTTAAAACTCTCAAAATTATCAAATGGAAATCATAGAAAAGAATGTACCCTGTTCCTATTTGGTCAATGAGTGAAAGTGTAAAATGTAAACAGATACTTTTTCTTTAACTCATTCACCCCTGAAGACACATTCAAACTCTGCCAATTTAAATGTTGGAATAGTTCATTATGAAATTTCAGGGGTGAATGAGTTATTAATGTATATAGTGATATCATTTTGCTTACATATCTATCTGTTCACACAGAACTTGCCAATACCAATGGTTTACCTAGATATATGGAAAATGGAAGGCTTGGATAACAAATGAAAAAGGTCTAATTTATTTTTGAGAAGTTAAGTAGTAAATTATAAAACTGACATTATTTCACCTTTAGGTCTAGAACGGGATATAGCGCCTGCCAAACTCAACAGTTCATCTGTAGAGAAAGGTGTTTTACTGTTCAGCTTGTGCACACAGTCTGCTCCTGCCTGGTAAATTGGTCTTCCATATATCTTGCTATGACTTGGCAAAGTACCTGTGTTGTTTACTGATCTGTTGGCAAACCGCCAGCGAAAACAGCTGTGTTTTTGTCAGTACAGTACCAGGTCGACCTGCTACCTATATATGAACAGGGGTTTTACACAGAACCAACCAAAACACCATCACGTTGAGAATTGTGATATCATTATAATCTCGGGATTTAAATAAAGATTGTCCAATATTGACTTGGTACATTTCTAAATGTAACCCGTTCACTTAATATCATATTTCTGCAATGATTTCTTCAGTTTTACAATACAGCCGTTCAGTTTGTATGAAAAGGATACAGGATCTGTGATTTATAAGGGTTAACCTTATCACCACTGTAGACCATAATGGTCTTCTCCAGATCAATGCATGGTAGAGCTTATTAAAGTTACATAGGGATGCAGAGGTCACCTGAATACCATGTCTTGGTCCGGCATATTTTGATTCTACAGATACTGTCTGTATATATAAACAGTATACAAATATATATAGGACCGATTTCACCTCCTACTTCAAGCCCAACCTATGAGTCATGTGTCTGATGCTACAAATTGCCTAATGTTACCAAATGGGTAGCTATACTTACGTGAATAATAATGGTGATCTGTCGAAAGCTGGCATTGGAACAGTAATGTAAAAAAGATATCTGTATCGGGCAATAGGTATTTGGGTTGGGATGATGACAAAGTACAGTTTAGTCATGCAGAGTATCAATTACCCATTGTAAAGTTCGCAAGATGTTTATCAAAATTATTTAGTATTCCATTGATAAACAGATCAACACAAATGTAAACCTGTATTAAATCTTCGTAATCAAATGACCACAACATATGAAACAAAGAACTAAGTTCACCTTCTTTGCCAGTTCATTCTTCATTCTTTTCAATTCAAGTTGCTGATACAATATACTATAGAAGTTTGTTTTTGAAAAAAGAGTTCCATTCTAGGTAGACAACTGTGAGCGAAGAACATTGACACCTGGAGAAGAGAAAAAGATTATCCTAATCTATCTAGCCCCTAGTAACAAGGTCAGATGGAGTAAACATCTGGAGGACTGATAGTTATGTATTTTGTTACGGCCTATACTGTCCATAAAACCCGTCTACGATATCCCCATAAAGTGTACAAAGCAAAGCATCATAGCCATTTATCAGTAGTTTCTCTATTTTACAATAGAAAACTCGACCCTTTCATCCAGAGTCTTGTTCCGTTCAGGTGAATGAAATAACTAGTTTAACATGGAAATTGTGTGTTGTGGACGAGGAAGATGCTTACAGAAAACCTTTTTACCAGACAGAATTTGACCCAGTCATTAATCGGAGATTGACTGTGATGTTAGCATGCTTCAGTTGAACGTAAATAAACTTGGTGATTTTCCGGGCTTTGATTGCATGTGACTGTGAATACATTTCAGTTTCCATTTCACACGGTATTTGTTAGATGTTGAGACAGCTGTATACGATTTAGTATTTTACATGATCAGATAATTTATAGTTGACCTTTTATATAGTACCTGAATTTGATTTCAGAATTGCATTGATTTGGCAAGGTATAATTATAATTAGTTGCTTTATTTGGTCAAAAGTTTTACATGCTTTTGGTCAATGATGTAATTTTTATTTCTCAGGTGATTTAATTGGTCAGACATTTAGTAACAAATTTAGAATTTTTCTGATAGTGGTAAATAACAGCAGTGTTATAGATTTTCTTCGGATAAATTATTTTGAGGCAGATATGTTTGTTGGAAACGAGAAAAAAACATGCTAGATGCAATCTTTGTGAAAAGATTCTGGCTAAGTTCAAGTTAAGAATGTATGACACTAAAATGATCATGATTCAGTTCAATTTTCATTTTAGGCAAAATCCACCTCCAGACATTTTCAACAAAGCTTCATCACCCAATTCCAAGTATGTATTTCAGTAATTATCATTGGTCAGTGTTGTCATCTTCCCCAGTAGCTTCATATCTAGCCAGAATAACACCTCTAAAAACGTATATATCAAAAATTATATTGGAAATATATTATTCCAAAAGTATATATTGGAATCTTAACCAGATTGGAATATACTTACATTCATTCATATTTATATATATATTCATATTATATTTAAAAATATTAATTATATCAAAAACATATTTTTTGAAAGAAATCAAAAATGTTGGAAGTTTACAGTTAGTAATTTTGAAATCCTACAAGCATGTCCTGCCCAGAGCTTTAATTATAATTAGTTTGCCTTTTTAATTTTTAGATGTTCATTATATATATATATGGCTTAAACTTCTAATGACTTTTGCTTTATAGAAACATTCAGTTATTCAATGAAAGCTTTTGTGAAATATCTGCTTCAGTTAAAAACGTTGATGGGAAGAGGGTTGGAGGTGGAGGGAAGTATTTTTATCTACATAATCTGTTATAAAAGATAATTTTTTTTTCCTTTCTTGAAAAAGGTTTTTAACTCATTCACCCCTGAAAACACATTTGAACTCCTCCAATTCAAAAGTTTGAAAAGTTCATTATGAAATTTCAGGAGTGAATGAGTTAACCCTTTCACCCCTATGTAACTTAAGTAGACTCATGCATTGATATGGAAGAGTTCATTATGGTCTACAGGGGTGAATTAGTTAAATAATTTTTATCAGTGCTTCAAGTAGATACAATGTCTGATAATTCCTTGGTTGTAAATCAAATATTAACCCATATATAAGGGGGACATACCAAATAACTTATATGGGTATAAAGTTATAAGAAATATGCATCATGCGTTTAGTCATAGGACTTAAATTTCAAGAATATGAGAATTGTATTTAAGACCTAAAATTTTGAGTCTAGATGGAAGGGAAAAAAAGATAATGTCTTTCTCCACAGGTCTTGAAATTCTTAAAAAAAGCAACCACCAAACTGAATGAAAGATTAAATTTCAGCAAAATAAGGGTATGATTTTCATTGTTGTTCATGCACGTCAGTCTCTATCTGTCAGGGGAGTGAACCGTAATAGTTCTTGGAGTAATATTCGTAATCTTTTAGGGCATTCCTCAGAAACTCGATAACAACAATGACTTCATGTAGAATGAGTTTTAAGCTGTGCATGAAAAAAAATTGTAACTTAACTGGCTCGATGAATGTATTGTTGACAGTTGTGTTGCCTGCTAGTCTGTCTGAATGGAGGGGTTTGTAAAGTTTGTCTACTTTATACCAATCTCGGGCATGCTGCCTAAATGAACCCAAGGTTTCTGGCACTTTAGGGTTTCATTTCTGTATGTGAATTGTGTATTAAAGGATTTAGATTATAAAATATTTCTGATATATTTGAAATGTATAATAGACTTGAAATTTCAAGTGAAATGGAGAATTGCAAAAGACAATTATAGAACAAAACTGATGTCTTTTGTTAAAAATTAATTCAATTTCAGAACAACAAATGCTGAACACTTTTATAACATATTTGTCCATTTCTTGTAGAATTTTGAAATTTGTTTGAGACAGATCCCTACAAACAGGAAAAAAGATGGTTGTTCAGTCAAACTAGTAAAACTTGAAATGTTTTGAATGAAAAGTCAGATTTTTTTTGTAAAATCTCCTGGTTTACCTCACATAGTAGACATTCTTGAATGACAGATCTGAATGTATCTTTATGCATATCGTAGTATTTACCGTAGTGTGCGTAACACAGGAAGCGGGTACAAATACATTCTTCAGCACACACGGCATACCAATGAAACAAGTCAAGCTGCTGTGTGACTCAGACTGTCCCGCTAGTGATAAATTATAAATCAATGCTTTAACCTACATTTTTGCGCCTGTTGATATCTCGGCACTATGTTACTGGGTTTTCCCTGATGTACACACAGAACTAGATAGATGTGTACATATATTATATGTGTATTCCTGACACAATATTGGCAATAGATTGGGGACAGCTGCATCGTTTGTGTGTACACAGTAATCTAGTCTGAGGGAAATGTACGTTTCACTAGGGATCATGATCAATGTATCGATGTTCATATTGATGTCATGAAAAAATAAAATATATCAGATTGCCAAAAACTCCAGGAGACACGTAATATACTGTAGATGTCCTGACCTTACTCAAGATAACAATAAATATACTGTAGATGTCCTGACCCTACTCCAGGGAACATTAAATATACTGTAGATGTTCTGATCTTACTCCAGGGAACACTAAATATACTGTAGATGTTCTGACCTTACTCCAGGGAACACTAGATATACTGTAGATGTCCTGACCTTACTCCATGGAACACTAAATATACTGTAGATATCCTGACCTTACTCCAGGGAACACTTTATATACTGTAGATGTCCTGACCCTACTCCAGGAGACACGTAATATACTGTAGATGTCCTGACCTTACTCCATGGAACACTAAATATACTGTAGAGGTGCTGACCTTACTCCAGGGAACACTTTATATACTGTAGATGTCCTGACCTTACTCCAGGGAACGATAAATATACTGTAGATGTCCTGACCTTACTCCAGGGAACAATAAATATACTACACATAGATGCCTGACCTTACTCCAGGGAACACTAAATATACTGTAGATGTCCTGACCCTACTCCAGGGAACACTAAATATACTGTAGATGTCCTGACCTTACTCAAGGGAACACTAAATATACTGTAGAGTGTCCTGACCTTACTCCAGGGAATAATAAATTTACTACAGATAGATGTCCTGACCTTACTCCAGGGAACACTAGAAATACTACACATAGATATCCTGACCTTACTCCAGGGANGAATAATAAATTTACTACAGATAGATGTCCTGACCTTACTCAAGGGAACACTAGAAATACTACACATAGATATCCTGACCTTACTCCAGGGAACACTTAATATACTGTAGATGTCCTGACCTTACTCCAGGGAACACTAAATATACTTTAGATTTCCTGACCTATTCCAGGGAACACTAAATATACTGTAGATGTCCTGACCTTACTCCAGGGAACACTAAATATACTGTAGATTTCCTGACCTTACTCCAGAGCACACTAAATATACAGTAGATGTCCTGTCCTTACTCCCCTGAACATTAAATATACTACACATAGATGTTCTGACCTTACTCCAGGGAACAATAAATTTACTACACATAGATGTCCTGACCTTACTCCAGGGAACACTTTATATACTGTAGATGTCCTGACCTTACTCCAGGGATCACTAAATATACTGTAGATTTCCTGACCTTACTCCAGCGAACACTAAATATACTGTAGATGTCCTGACCTTAATCAAGGGAACACTAAATATACTGTAGATTTCCTGACCTTACTCCAGCGAACACTAAATATACTGTAGATGTCCTGACCTTAATCAAGGGAACACTAAATATACTGTAGATTTCCTGACCCTACTCCAGGGAACACTAAATATACTGTAGAGGTCCTGACCTTACTCAAGAGAACACTAAATATACTGTAGATGTCCTGACCTTAATCAAGGGAACACTAAATATACTGTAGATTTCCTGACCTCACTCCAGGGAACACTAAATATACTGTAGATTTCCTGACCCTACTCCAGGGTACACTAAATATACTGTAGAGGTCCTGACCTTACTCCAGGGGACACTAAATATACTGCAGATGTCCTGACCTTACTCCAGGGAACACTATACTGTAGATGTCCTGACCTTACTCAAGGGGACACTTGATATACTGTAGAGTGTCCTGACCTTACTCCAGGGAATAATAAATTTACTACAGATAGATGTCCTGACCTTACTCCAGGGAACACTTTATATACTGTAGATGTCCTGACCTTACTCCAGGGGACACTTGATATACTGTAGATGTCCTGACCTTACTCCATGGAACACTAAATCTACTGTAGATGTCCTGACCTTACTCAAGGGAACACTAAATATACTGTAGAGTGTCCTGACCTTACTCCAGGGAACACTAAATATGCTGTAGATGTCCTGACCTTACTCCAGGGAACACTAGATATACTACACATAGATGCCTGACCTTACTCCAGGGGACAATAAATATACTGTAGATGTCCTGACCCTACTCCAGGGAACATTAAATATACTGTAGATGTCCTGACCTTACTCAAGGGGACACTTGATATACTGTAGAGTGTCCTGACCTTACTCCAGGGAGTAATAAATTTACTACACATAGATGTCCTGACCTTACTCAATATACTACACATAGATGTTCTGACCTTACTCCAGGGAACACCTAATATACTGTAGATGTCCTGACCTTACTCCATGGAACACTAAATCTACTGTAGATGTCCTGACCTTACTCAAGGGAACACTAAATATACTGTAGAGGTCCTGACCTTACTCCAGGGGACACTAAATATACTGTAGATGTCCTGACCTTAATCAAGGGAACACTAAATATACTGTAGATTTCCTGACCTCACTCCAGGGAACACTAAATATACTGTAGATTTCCTGACCTCACTCCAGGGAACACTAAATATACTGTAGATTTCCTGACCTCACTCCAGGGAACACTAAATATACTGTAGATTTCCTGACCCTACTCCAGGGGACACTAAATATACTGTAGAGGTCCTGACCTTACTCCAGGGGACACTAAATATACTGCAGATGTCCTGACCTTACTCCAGGGAACACTATACTGTAGATGTCCTGACCTTACTCAAGGGAACACTAAATATACTGTAGAGGTCCTGACCTTACTCCAGGGGACACTAAATATACTGCAGATGTCCTGACCTTACTCCAGGGAACACTATACTGTAGATGTCCTGACCTTACTCAAGGGGACACTTGATATACTGTAGAGTGTCCTGACCTTACTCCAGGGAATAATAAATTTACTACACATAGATGTCCTGACCTTACTCCAGGGAACACTAAATATACTGTAGATGTTCTGACCTTACTCCAGGGAACATTAAATACACAACACATAGATGTCCTGACCTTACTCCAGGGAACACTAAATATACTGTAGAGTGTCCTGACCTTAATCCAGGGAATAATAAATTTACTACACATAGATGTCCTGACCTTACTCCAGGAAAAACTAGATATACTACTCATAGATATCCTGACCTTACTCCAGAGCACACTAAATATACAGTAGATGTCCTGTCCTTACTCCCCGGAACATAAAATATACTACACATAGATGTTCTGACCTTACTCCAGGGAACAATAAATTTACTACACATAGATGTCCTGACCTTACTCCAGGGAACAATAAATTAACTACACATAGATGTCCTGACCTTACTCCAGGGAACACTAGATATACTACACATAGATATCCTGACCTTACTCCAGAGCACACTCAATATACTGTAGATGTCCTGTCCTTACTCCAGTGAACACTAAATATATTGTCCTAACCTTACTCGAGGAACACTAAATATACTTTCCTGACCTTACTCCATGGAACACTAAATATACTGTAGATGTCCTGTCCACTAAACATACTGTAGATGTCCTGACCTTAATCCAGGGAACACTAAATTACTGTTGTTGTTCTGACCTTACTCCAGGGAACACTAGATATACTGTAGATGTCCTGACCTACTCCTGGGAACACTAAACATACTGTAGATGTCCTCACCTTACTCCAGGGAACATTAAATACACAACACATAGATGTCATGACCTTACTCCAGGGAACACTTGATATACTGTAGATGTCCTGACCTGACTCAAGGGAACACTTAATATACTGTAGATGTCCTGACCCTACTCCAGGGAACACTAAATAATAGATATCCTGACCTTACTCCAGAGCACACTCAATATACTGTAGATGTCCTGTCCTTACTCCAGTGAACACTAAATATATTGTCCTAACCTTTCTCGAGGAACACTAAATATACGTTCCTGACCTTACTCCATGGAACACTAAATATGCTGTAGAGGTCCTGACCTTACTCAAGAGAACTCTAAATATACTGTAGATGTCCTGTCCACTAAATAAACCGCAGATGCTCTGACCTTATTGAAGGGAACACTAAATATACTGTAGAATTCCTGACATTTCTCCAGGGAACAATAAATATACTGTAGATTTCCTGACCCTTCTCCAGGGAACACTATATATACTGTAGATGTCCTGAACTTACTCCAGGGAACACTAAATTACTGTTGTTGTTCTGACCTTACTCCAGGGAACAATAAATTAACTACACATAGATTTCCTGACCTTACTCCAGGGAATAATAAATTTACTACACATAGATGTCCTGACCCTACTCCAGGGAACACTAAATACACTACACATAGATGTACTGACCTTACTCCAGGGAACATTAAATACACAACACATAGATGTCATGACCTTACTCCAGGGAACACTAGATATACTGTAGATGTCCTGACCTTAATCAAGGGAACACTAAATATACTGTAGATTTCCTGACCCTTCTCCAGGGAACACTAAATATACTGTAGATGTCCTGTCCACTAAATATACTGTAGATGTTCTGACCTTATTGAAGGGAACACTAAATATACTGTAGATGTCCTGACCTTACTCAAGGGAACACTTAATATACTGTAGATGTCCTGACCTTATTCAAGGGTGCAGTACTTATACTGTAGATGTCCTGACCTTACTCCAGGGAACACTAAATATACTGTAGATGTTCTGACCTTATTGAAGGGAACACTAAATATACTGTAGATGTCCTGACCTTACTCCAGGGAACACTTAATATACTTTAGATGCCCTGACCTTTCTCCAGGGGACACTAAATATACTGTAGATGTCCTGAACTTACTCCAGGGAACACTAAATATTTTACACATAGATGCCCTGACCTTACTCCAGGGAACACTAAATATACTGTCCTGACCGGTACCTTACTCAAGGGAATGCTAAATATACTGTTGATGTCCTGACCTTACTCCAGGGAACACTAAATGTACTGTAGATGTCCTGACCTTACTCCAGGGAACATTAAATATACTGTAGATGTCCTGACTTTACTCCAGGGAACACTAAATAAACTGTCCTGACCTTACTCCAGGGAACGCTAAATATACTGTAGATGTCCTGACCTACTCCTGGGAACACTAAATATACTGTAGATGTCCTGACTTTACTCAAGGGAACACTAAATAAACTGTCCTGACCTTACTCCAGGGCACGCTAAATATACTGTAGATGTCCTGACCTTACTCCAGGAAACACTAAATATACTGACCTTACTCCAGGGAACACTAAATGTACTGTAGATGTCCTGACCTTACTCCAGGGAACACTAAATATACTGTAGATGTCCGAACAAATGAGGATTTGCCATACATGTTTTCTGTATGATTTTCAGAATAACTGCAGGATTGGGATGTCGACTCAATCTGTTAAAAGGCTGTGCTAATAATATAACACTGATATATTACATGTATAAGTAATGTTGTGCATACAATTTGTAGTGGGACCCAGTTATGCAGGCAAGTGTAATATAATAATAAAAAGGTCTGGAAAGTCTTGAAGATATACTGTATGCATGGTTAATTTTTTGCACAGTCAAACTTTAGCTGCTTGAAGCTATGTCTTTGTGATGCATTTTCATTAATAAGCAGATATGTTTTCTTTAATTCTTTAATTAGAATTTTGAAACTGATTTATTTTCATAGCAGATAAGTATGGCATTGTGATATGTTTTCTATAAATATAAAGATTTTAAATGATGAATAGTCTTTTTATACACTTGTGACAAGGTCGGGGAGAAAACATACAGTGCTAATATAAGTATGTAGATGTTGACAGTTAGCCAATAGATAGGTGTTTTAGAGACAATATGCAACCCATTAAGTGCCTTGGAGAACCTTCCAAAAAGGAAAAAATGCAAAAATAATAGACACTTCTATATACAGGTAAGTTGACATTTAGTTATGGTGAGGGGATGGGATGAGACCAGACAACAGGTTAAGGGCATATACAACAGATTAAGTGTTTATTAACTCAATTCATTCACCCCTGAAGAAAGACATAATGGAACTCTTCCAATTCAAAGGTTTGAATAAGTTCAATATGAAATTTCAGGGGTTAAAGAGGTAAGTCAATTTCTATCGAAATCTGTATAACAATGTTTCGTTTTCATAAAGTTAATATGATGATTTGTTCAGTCATTCAGTTTATGTATGCTATGTTACACATAAATGCACTTCAGATCTCAATGTTGTAATCATTTACAAACTATTAATTAACTCATTCATCCCTGAAGACACATTTGAACTCTTCCAATCCACAGGTTGGAATAGTTCAATATGAAATTTCAGGGGTGAATGAGTTAAAGCTATATATAATTGTCTGGGGAAGAACTGGACATGTTGGTAAATATAGAAAATTTATGATCAGTGTGTAGGAGTTTATTAATAGTGTCAAGTGAGGAAAGTGTTGTATTAATGGGTGTAACCATCGGCCTGTGGTAAGTGTGGGCCACCACAGATAGGTTAGTACAGTTTGGATGGTTGTCTGGGAACAAGAACAACATATTCTCTACCAGTGTAAATAATCTGTGAGAAAAACTTGCCCCAAATTTTATTCAGATACAAGTTTTATGGTAAATAAATGTTTTGTACTTAGCCAGGTCATTGTGAATGGTTTAAGAAACGGAGCATTATAGATATATATATATAAACCAGCAGAGAAACAGCTGTGGGAGGGATTTGTAGTATATACCTTGTTGATAGGTGTTGGGTCATTGATCTTCACCTCTCAAGGGTGACCAAGTGTGAAAAATGTATTTTTTAATCTGAGCCGTGTATACACAACTATTATGTGGCTAGTACAGTCAGCGGGGCTAATCGTCACTGGGTAGTGAACTACTGCTGGAAGGTGTACTAACATTAGTACAGGATCTGATAATAACAACACAGGTGTCAATAGGTACAACTCTCATTTAAAACAAGGGAGATCACTCTTTATGCATTTTTTTTTTACTTCGTTGTGAATAACAATGACAACATTATAAAACTTTGCAAGTGTCAATAGGTGCATAGTCCCTAATACCATTAACAAATACATTATTAAGATCAGTTCTTTAGGATCATTAGGGGGAGATAACTCACCATGTTGATTACTGCTGGTTGAGAGGATATAATACTTGTTATGACATACCTGGTGTCTCTAAGTACATTTTAAACTGATCTTAGGATAGCTGCAAATGGCCCCAAGCTGCTTTGGTGGTTTTGAACCTAGGGCATTTGGTTATGACATCACAGAAATGTACAAGTAATCAAGGTTATCAAGGGAGATAACCTGTCTCAGTGATACTGTAGCTAAAGGATTCAGTAATTATATATAACTGCAGTGGGAATCACAGATAGGATATGAAGAAAAGTGCTCACTTAAAACAAATATGAAGGAATATTTATATAGACCGGGTGTAATATTGGTGACGTGTGACCAAACAAAATCTGTTTAAAAGTAGAAATGGGAGGCAATAGGCTGTGAAAATGGACATAAGAAAATAGGAAGTGAAAACAATGAGTTAGGAATAGGAATTGAAAAGTTCTGGTGAAATATACATACTACTGTAACTTAGTTAGAGCCAGCCACCAATAACTTCACAACTTTAACAATATTGGTAAGTCAATGGAATCTAAAATACAGAACAGAAATATGTAAGAAATGGAGAGAAAAAGATTATTGAGAGAGCTCTGATGGAAATCAGTCCGATAGTGCACGTTTGAACATTTTAGTGGTAGTCACATTTGAGTGCTTTTTGTGCTTTATCTATTGCGCTGAATAATGTTAGCTCCAACTGGCATTTCTGTGAATTGCCACCTGTTGCATATATTTTGGTGTGCCAATTCATCAATGCGCTATTAAAATCGGATACTTCGCTTAAAATATGTGTGCACTAAAATAAGTACATTTACAGTAGGTGATTGGACCTCGCTAAAATATTACTATTTCTAGTTGTGCCCAGTAATTACCTCCATCACAACACACCCTGTAAAAGGTAAACAGGAATATTGCATGCAGTGTTTATAGGTAAATCCTGCTGAACTCTGCTGATAAACGCCTTCATCTCAATACTGTTGATAATCACAGACCTGAGGCTGCTACACCAAATCTTTACCAAGAGGCACAGAATAACTGGACAAGGGAAGGGTTATGTATGTAACATATAGGGTATTTGGATGTTGTTGTTAGCATAGGGGAGGGAGGAAGGGGGTGGTAGAGTAGGGTTAGAATGGTAGGGGGCGGGGGAGGGGAGAGGATGAGAGAGGAATATTTAAAGTGAAATTATCCAAAATATAAATATGAAGATAAATATCTTCACATGATGCCAATTTTAGGTCAGATTTTTATCGTATTTGATTCATTAAAATGAAGGTTATAAATATTTGATATTCTTGTGAAGGAAATTTCACTAAATAGAGAAATTGTTCAGAAAATCTCACTTGAAGAAAATGTAGAGAAAATTTCACTCCGGAGTGTTATGGTGATAAAACATGCAGAACAAGCATGCCTGCTTACACCAGATGGGGTTCTGGTCTGATTGTATTATCTCTGTTTCTGTCCCAGCATCAATGGGAAAAAACTGGAACTGACCTATGTTAGCCACACACAGCTAGATCCAGCAGCTGTGCAGACAAAGCCAACACATGTACAGTCTGTAACACATAGAGAGTGGAGGGGGGAGGGATGGAAGTAGGAGGTTACTAGCTTACTAGTACATGTTATAGGATATAGCGGGTACTGTTGTTCTCAAGTGTCTTTGAAGAAGAAATCATTTCTAATTTGTTGAAGTTTTTACTTTTGGGGCATTTCTGATGGAAAAATACAAGAAAATAGATTATGAAAGATAGAATATTACAATTTTGTGTGATATGCTAAACTCCTACTATTGGGAAAGTAGTTATATAAATTTTCCCAAATTAGCAATCGAATAGGCAAAGTGAGGCCAAGAACTTCATGTAACATTCAAATTGTTTTTAAGGATTTCATTTATATATAAATTAATTCGTAGGGTAAGAAATTCATCTGTCCACATTAGCTATGAACACAAATTACTACATTATTAAAAATATATTAAAGAAAGTAGGTAGGTTTATTGTCAGGAATTTGAATTTCAGCTTTGGATGCAGAAACACGTGGTGTGCTTGACTGACCTGAATCTTCTAGGATACTGAACTCAAATATTTCTTATGAAATCTGAAACAACATCTTTAAATATAAGATCATTTTGAAAGTTCCTCAAAACCATGTAGAGAGATTTGTTTATAGCAGTAGTTTCAAGTTGGTAATATTTGTTTAAATTCACTGGAAACCTCACCGTCATTAAATAGAGATCATGCTCTTTGGAGTTAATAGCAGAAACTTAAGCAGGTAAATCGTTCAATTTAAACATCGTTAAGTGAACCAGTGCAAGATCGGAACATACATTGGTATACAGATGTACATCTCAGACAGGTTCCAAAAATAAATTCTACAACATTTGCGATATAATCTTAGATTTTCATATTCAATGTCCGACATGAAGCGTTTGATATTTTTGAGGTACAGTTTGGGTTTATGCCTATAGCATTACTAGATCTTCTTTTTGGCCGGGTGTACTTATATGTGATGTATCTGCATGTAAAAATATGATGGATGAAAAAATATGGGATTTTCTCTTGTCATATCATTTGGACAGAATCCAAAGCATCCTGCAGAACATCATAGATAAACCGACTCAAAATAACCTCAAGCATCTGCTAAAATATTATCAAAACTAAACTTTGGATTGAAAGTAGCCACAAAATGTCTAAATCAAGGCGGGATACAGCTATAAATAACTATGTGGGTTCTATAACGGTATCTGTCAAGAGTTATCTCCCATTAAGATGTAGACTTGTTGGAATAAAACTAGTATGTACACGGTGATTACCAATGTTTACTTGACGTAATAATGAAAATGATGGAACGCTTTGCCCATCATTCCTAAAGGTTTCTGCATTTTTTAGAAACGATATGGCTGCATAGTTTCAGATGCACACGCAGTATAGGAGTGTTCTTCTTGCGTTTTGATCCTGGCCGATACATCACATTGTTTATGAATATTTTTTGCAAACCCCTGATATGAGATTCATAAAATTGATCTTAATGTGTTTCCATTTCATTTGAATTTTAACGAAACAAGTAAGACTTTGATTTCGCAAACCTTTTGGTAAAAGATAATCTACAGGACTAGGTAAATTTATCTCGTAGAAACTGGCAACTAATTATAACTGGTGCCTGTATAGAGGAGAATGCACATGCTCTTTATGTAAATGTCTATATGCGAACATTGCCATCTTGGATTCTAAAGACACCAAATATGGTCAATTATTTTAAAATATATATAGTGTTTCTACATAATTGAGATTTATTACACTGTCTACAAGTATTTTTCGTTTAACATAACAAACCAATTTAATGGCATATGATTAACTTCAGCTTTCCTTCCCAGGACATTGTTGAAAGGTTAAAAGAAAAAATATATGAAGTACAACTGATGTATATTTAAAACAATTATCTACAAATTATGAAAATTATCTAAAATATATTAAAAATAAATAATACAAGGGTATGTAAATGGAAAAGAAACAGATTTAGCGAAGGTTGATAAATTGGAACAGCACGGAAATAATTGAAGAAATGAAATTGGCAAATAATGTTCCTGTTTTACTTAAAGCCTAACTATGAACTAATGGAAAGTATTTTACAGTCTCTTGATCTTTTCCTTTGACTAAATCTTATCGTGTGTGCATGTATGTTTTAGCCACCCCATTTGCATTTTTACATGCAATAACATGCGTACAACTCTTCAAGATATAGGCTGGCCCTATGAGGGAGCATGCGATATATCCCTAGTCTCAATGGGTTTCTATAGCTAGGAAATTGAATAGAATTGGACATATTTACATGCATAGGGACAATAAAGGAGCACTCGAGATGTAAGATTTGTTTATTGTGAGATCAAGAGGAGACAGACTGGAGCATGATTTTCTCTGGTGGGGCAATCAGGCGTGTACGGTTTAAGGTCACGGGGTCACCCGTATTCCCAGACAACCAAGTATTGAGTCAACTCCCAAGAATTTCTGTGCCCTAAGTACATTTTTTTCTGACATGTGGTTGAATTTTATTGGGTCAGTCAAACTATGCGTGTGTGGGAGTAGATGAAATTAGCTCCAATTCAAAACAATCGTGTTTATAAGTATCGTGAGAGCTGTTTTACATTTGTCCTTTAGAGACTTTTTGTGAAGAATATTTCAAAAGCTTTTTGATGCCCAATTTTATACTTGATAGTTAAGTGTAATCCATTAAGAGTTTTAAATATTTATTTGTTCTGTATTTAGAATAAGGTATCGCTTTACATATAGTGTGTGGGGGTCATCATTGATTATTTATAGAAATGCGTACTTGAAATGTGCATTGTAAACAATTAGGATGAGAGACAAAAAGACCAATGCATAGCTTGGACTACTTATCTGTCTAGTAGCAGTGGGAGTCATCCTTCAGATGTACATGTCAAGTAGTTTACCAGGCTGGGAAAGGTCAAACTGGTGACAATGACAGACTTATATTAAGGTAGAGTGTCCTAGCGTTCTATGTTGTATCTCCAAAAAGAAGAGTTCCAATTGTTCGGCAGTTTTCTTATTTGGAGTTGCTTGTCCATTTATTATAACAAAGTGTCATATGCGAAAGATATAATTTTACTATAATATCCATTTTCTCAATGATATTTTTACTAGGCTATGATCAGATAATTGCCTTTGTATGAGGATATACCATCCATTGTAACTTAATTAAAAAAACAATAAAGGCCTGTATACTGTAAAGAGTGGAGAGACACTCCACCTTAAACGAAAGGAATAAAACAAGCATGTCACATCATTTCTATTTGAATTTGATGCTCTGGAAGATATCTGTTTAAATGCTAACTTCTGAGAAAGGTATAATATCTACGGCGATTTTTTGATAAAATCCAGTTATGTAAACAAAATTCAGTAATCATGACATGTAATGTAAGAAGAAGCTACCGTGTTACCTTAATACAGATTTGTTTCAAATCAGTCGTTGGCCAAATGAATATAAACATAAGCTTATATGAAAATCCGTTCTCAAGAGTATGTAATTAATGATCAACATTTTGAAGAAATACACTGAAAATGATCAATTGAATTTAGGTAAAATTATAATGAATTCCAAATATTAACCTGTAAAGTTGTTCATTGAGAGTTTTCTCCAGCACAGTGGGGTATACACATGGTTTGAGTGGCCAGCTCCTGTTTTGAATTAGCAACCTGTTTTATCATCAATTATAAACCCACTTTTCTTCCTGAAATCTGCTGTGAAGAAATGATGGGAAGATGTTTTTTTAACTTTTAAAACCGGAACTGTTACCGACATTAGCAATTATGAGTTTAACACCCAGTGGTGTTTGCCATTTCCTTTCCCAGGGTTAACTTGTAGAAAAAAATGCTCAACTGTGGCCCCTGTTTAAAAATAATAATTCTGTGGTAAGCTCATAGCGATGTACTAAACATCCTGTTGTTTTTATGGGGAAAAAAATCTGACTTTGATCTGTGTTTCTGTTTTTGTTCTAGAAAAATAGTAAATTGAGATTATATTATTTGTTTGTGTGCAAGATACTGGGGTATGTCAATATTCTTTGTGTCATTGATGAAGCTAACTTCCTTATATAAAGAAAATTCTTGTTTCAAGTGTCCTATACAGACCATTTGTCTGTCAAATATTTGTGGCATCTAATTTAACTTCAAATTGTGATATTTGTCTCCCAAATTTGAGTTGAAAATTCACTCNTCCCTTTTTTTTTAAAAAAAAAAAAAAAAAAAAAAAACGAAAAAAAAAATGTATATATTTATCTTCTTACTGTTGATGTGATAATGGATACAAATAATAAAGAATTAAATAAAAACCTTTTTTGAAGATTTTTAAACAAGCAATCCTTATTATTTGTAAATTTTATAGCAAACTATCGTCTGTATTAAGAAGACTTTTTGAACGTAAAAGAGAAATCAAAAGACCCTGATCTTGAATGAAACATTAAGGCATTGATTTTTTTTTTTATTGAAATGTCTATAAACAAGTTCTGGACTGTATTGACAACACAATCTACAGAATTAATCTCCATTTTCTAAAAACAGTTTACACTATTTGACAATGTGTTGTGATATGTTATATTGGTATTACAATATGTCATGGTACACTACTGGTATATCCTGACAATAACAATTGTCATACATCTAGGTATATCATGGCCACATTTTCATATTTATCAGCACCAGTTCAGTATCTTTCATGTTTTGCAAATCTGTTGTGTGTTTCAGTCATCTCACACAATCCACAACCTGGCAAGATCCCCGTAAAGCCGTCAGCACAACCGCCCTCAATAGTCAACAAAGCCCACCCTCTTCGCAGCAGTCTCCCAACGTCTCCATGCAGAACCTTAACCTCGACTCCCTGCCCCAGGGATGGGAACAAGCAAGCACACCCGAAGGAGACATTTACTACATAAATCACCATGAACGCACCACGAGTTGGTACGATCCAAGAATACGTAAGTCCTTTACACGGAAAGAGTCACCTTACCTCCCTTCCTAACAGGTATCTTTGCACTTGTAATGGCTTTTTGAAGGAAAATAAAGAAGATATGTTGAAAGAAATCTGAAATTTAAGGATCAAGAAAAGTTTTATTAAACAATTGGATGATTCTAATTTAATAAGTGTTTAAACTACAAATCATTGTGCAGGAAGATATCTGTTCACAAGGGGCAAGTAACCCATAATGTTTGAAGAGTTTGTTAATAACCCAGTTATCATTTGAAAACTTCATAAACAATACAGTTGAAAGATACAACACAAGAAATTGATTTACACCAGTTCAATTTATAATGCTAATTACTTTGTTTAAAGAGAGATAACTTTCAAATGACAAGTGTTATGTTTTTAATTAGGTAGGTTTAATCCTTAACTGCTTCTAGTGTTTTGAATTAGGTAACTTTTAGAGAAGTGATCAGGCTCCACTGAAAAAACTTCATTTTACATCACTAGTCTATCATGTACAGTGCTACTAATGCTGTAACGCTATTGCCTGCCTTAAAGGTTTTATTTTATTTGGGGAAAAATATCGAGTGAATTCAATGTGTATCATATATTTACGAACCTGACTACATTTTCTTTTTGCTCTCGCAGTGACAACACAGGGTACCCTGAAAGGTTACTTGGCTAGTTGTTTTGAGTTATCTGCCCCTGTATTACAAAGGACAGGCCTAGCCCATATGTCGGTCTATAATTCATCAGACAAATTGGTCATTGGTGGTGCTGCCAACCCTCACTCTGATTTACATCAAGTTTGGCATGCAGTGTTACTCAACCCAATGTTGGACAGTATCCAGGGAACAGAATTAATATTTATTTAATCTGTCTTATCATTGCCTACTTTGCGGAAAGTGCACATGTTCAATACATTTTTTTTCTTCCCCCTCCCCCCTCCAAACTACCTAATGTACCATACTTGCTGTATTTGATAACCCCCATGTCTCAAATAAAATCAAGCTTTTCTCTGTACCAAACACAAAGATTTGATGTTAATTTGATTTAAATACATATGTTAATTTAACACCTATGGGGTAGGTGATAAATTAACATCCGTGTGTTAATCTGATTGATTTGGTGTAAGACGTTAACCCTTTCACCACTGTGGACCACAATGGACTCCTCCAGATAAAGCTATGGTAGAGTCTACTAAAGTTACCTTCGGGTGCGAGACGTTAAGTTAATGTATGATGTGATGTCAAGTAAAGGTGATAAGTTACTGTATTTCAATCAGATTGTTTTGGTGTAAAACCTGGAGTTATGTGGTGGTCGGGTGGCAGAGTGGAGTACACATTCACCTTTCACAAAGCCAACTAGGGCTCAATTCCCCAATCAGACATGATATGGAGTCGCCTGCATGACTGTGTTGGATAACTTGTGTCATAACTGTTGTAAAATATATCAAGTTTATAGCTATATATGAATTCATAAGTATTTATGCTTGGGTGATAATTAGGACAAATGTGCAGTATATCTTTTCACTAATACATATCTAAATCTCTCCATTGCACATCCGTTAGATTAACATTAAATCTGAAAAATTGGTATAAAGGTGCATTTTCAATCCATAAATAGAGTTAGTCTGGGATGTTTATTAAGTCAAATGTAGTCCTATATGTACATTAAGGCTACATATATATACATAGGCAAAGTGTTTATCCCCCACCTGTGGGGCATTGTCTGTCTGGCTCTACTGTATCAAGTCTAGTCAGTTTCTCACAGCAATAAAATTAACTATTGTAAGCTTACCAGGCTTTAAGTTTAACACTGTAATGAGTGTCAACATCGCTTTATCCTGACAATACGTATTTACCTCAGACAGATATTTCGTGGAAATATATAGCTATTATCAATAACGAGGTATATAGGTGATTTATACAGCTGATTTACCAGTTTTTACTTGAGAAAATTGGTAAACAAGTGACATAGTTGATGGATTTTCTTCCGTTGGTTTTACAACCTTTAGATCTTGGCTGGTTCATTACTTTCAAATTCCAGTTAACTCGGTAAAAACATTTATAAAAAATGAAACCCCACAAAATTGCCATATGTATCAGTCACAGAAATGCATCTGTTGTTTAAAAAATGATGGATCCATGTACAATATCAGTTGAAATCTCACTTTTTTCCGAAGTTTAGTCAGAGAATTTTCTATTTCAGCATTGATGTTATAATTCCTCATAAAACGTTCTTGATAACTATAGCCTAAATTCCAATTGGTTTCATCAGCACAGCTTCAAAATAACACTCTTGTTTTATTCCTACAGCTGAACGGATGCGTCAACAAGCTAGAATAAACTCAGTAGGTCCCGGACCGGGTCAGCGACAGATGGGTCAACAGTTGGCTCCACCCCCTCAACACCCGCAACAAAATGGGGGCACACAACGTTCACAGCAGGCTAATCTGCAATTCTCCAAACTACAAATGGAGAAAGAAAGGCTGCGCAAGAGACAGGAAGAAATTGCAAGACAGGTAGCTATTGTGAATGTACTAATAGGAACATAACTCGGGTAGCTTCAGCTTTTTTGCCTTTTTATGTTTCATTCTGTGTTGATTATGAATTACTAAATATGAAATAGTTTTGGCAAAGGATCAAGCTCAGGGAACCAGGTAATTGGCGGTAAATACACCGACAAGAACCTAATTTAGAGTGATGGTTGAACTGTTTGAGCCTGAGCTTAGCAATATTGTTTATCCTCTAGGAGATGCTCCTGCGGGCACAGATGCAGGCACAGCAACAATTACAGCAGCAGCAGCAGCAGCAACAACAGGACGCGATACCCGTGTCACAAAGCATAAACATATCTCAAGCCAACGAAATGACGTCAGTCACAGACCCGTTCCTGGGCCAAACAAACTCATCAGATCACTCCAGGCAGGAAAGCACTGACAGTGGAGTTGGTAGGTTACATCATTGCAGACTGACTCCTTTTGTAAATCACTCGGGGTCCAAACAACAGCTCACTCCTGGTGTGAAATTGCATTGGAGCCAAGTGAATTTTTCTATTCAAAAGTTGAATGATGTATTGGCATTTCGTATATTTTGTTTTGCTACAAAATGAAGCTTTTTAACCAGATTTTCTTAGCCAAGGCCAAAAGTAGTTTATTTTTCATTAAATGCTAAAAAAATGTTACAATTTAACTATAGTTTGAATATAACTAAAAAAATCTAGGATAAATAGGCAAAGTCATTGAGATAGCAGAAGGTAAGGGGAGATAACTCCTATATTCATCTTATTGGAGAAAGTTTATAAAGATGACCCTCTGTGTTGTTGTGATTTAGAGAAGTGATTGACTCCATCTTGAAGATAATATTTACCAGTAACTATTTACACCATATTTCATAAATATATCGGATTCTGCAATCCGCTCTGTATTTCTGAAATATTTGCAATAGCAGATAATGCAACATATTTGAAGTATATTTTACAAATATTTGATACAGTGGATAATGCAATCACTCAAATTTGCTTCCTGCAAATACTTTGGAAGATATTAAGGTTTTGATTCCTACTATTTGATTAAATTAAGCCAATGTACCTCTTAGATTTATTCTTTCCTTGTTCATTGGTGAGAAAAGAAGCTTTTCAATATGTAGTTATTTTGTTATACATCATTTTTTCTTGATTTTTCCTATTGTGGAGAAATATAATGTATATGTAGGTAGATGTATGAGATTATATCAGTCCAACAGGTGAGTATATTGTTTTAGGTGTTGTCTTGTGTTTTATAGTTAGATTACCTTAAATGTAATTAATGAGTTAAGGTTGTATGCTACGCCACTTCAACAAAAGAGTTCCAAACCCAACGTTAACCTGTCTTTAAAATAAGTTTGGTCTTGGTTAATTCAGGAAGCATTGGAATGTGTGTTCAGAAGGAATGCAACTATGGTAAATACAAAGGGAGACAACTCTTTACACTATCATTGGTATAATGTGTTAGAAACCACGTAGTCTTATCTTTTAGTACTAATCACATGTGTAATATACAAGGAAGTGTATTACCTCATGTAAAGATGAAACGAAAATGACATTAGCAATTTGGAAAAATTTAAATAGTTAGAGTCGAACCTGGGACATCTGGCTTATTCATCTTTATGCTCTACCAAATGAGCTAAAAAGGAATTCTCCCTAGCCGAGCTGGTAGGAAGTGGCTAGTATTTTAGCAGGGTGACGCATACATAATGGACCTTTTTCCCCCCCAAGCAAATTTGTAAATTATTTTGATGGAATGGAATGCTTTGACTGGAAAAATATGCATGTAAGACGTTGGATGACTACTAAGTTATATACAGAATTAGAAATTCCTTACTTCTGTGACACATATATATCTCTATATATAATTTGTAAGCTAAACTGATTGAAATTTCAAATATTTGACAAATATTCAAAATGGGAGAAAAACCATGTTCAGTTTTTACCCCAGCAAGTATAGCAAATTGATGTGTGGTTCTGGCTGGTATCATATGATGTTATTGGTTTGTGTTGAAGGTGGAATGGGGACAGGGACCAACTACAGCATGCCTAGAACTCCTGAAGATTTCCTGAGCAACGTAGATGAAATGGACACACAAGAAGGAGGTACGTTAAGTCTGATGTGTTTAAGTACAGTTTAACACGAAGAACCTTCAGACATTAATGAAAGGTTTAGCTTCATTCAAGCAAATATTCATATCAGTGATAGAGATTGATATTTATTTCAGGCATGAAGATTGCATGTGTACTTAAAAACCTAGCTTATTTTAGATTTAGTTTGCTCTGCTTCATACCCCAAAAGTGAAAAGAATAATGTCAATTAAAAAGAAATATATTCCTGTAGTGTTCCATTCAAGAAACATTCCGGACAAAAATGACAGCGAGCACAAATCCTATTCCCTGTTTAAGAAAACTTAAAGAAGTAGAGACGTGTCAGTACAAATGCAGTCTTAAATTATTTTATTGGTTAAATTCACATTCACACAACAGATGGATGCACATGTTGTGTTGTAATTAGACATGTAAAGCATTATAAACATAACTTTGTCTTTAATGAACTACCACAAACTATATAAACGTTTTAAGTATAGGGAGATAACTTTTGTTATCAGAGACGAATATTTTGAGCCCTTTGACTGAAATTTTAGTATAATGCAAACTCTTTTATTTCTTTTTCCTGTAGAAAGGATTTAAAATCTGATTTTCAGCTGTTTTGTGCATAAATCCGTAAACATCTTGGGTTATATTACAGGACACAGACAGTGAGTTTTCAATAACATGTCAGGTTATATTACAGGACACAGACAGGGAGATTTTAATAACTCTGTTAACATGTCAGGTTATATTACAGGACACAGACAGGGAAATTTCACAAACTCTGTTGACATGTCAGGTTATATTACAGGACACAGACAGGGAGATTTCAATAACTGTTAACATGTCAGTTTATATTACAGACACAGACAGGGAGATTTCAGTAACTCTGTTAACATGTCAGGTTATATTACAGGACAGAGACGGGGAGATTTCAATAACTCTGTTAACATGTCGGGATATATTACAGGACACAGACAGGGAGATTTCAATAACTCGGTTAACATGTCAGGTTATATTACAGGACAGAGACGGGGAGATTTCAATAACTCTGTTTACATGTCAGGTTATATTACAGGACACAGACAGAGAAATTTCACAAACTCTGTTGACATGTCAGGGTATATTACAGGACACAGACAGGGAGATTTCAATAACTCGGTTAACATGTCAGGTTATATTACAGGACAGAGACTGGGAGCTTTCAATAACTCTGTTAACATGTCAGGTTATATTACAGACACAGACAGGGAGATTTCAGTAACTCTGTTAACATGTCAGGTTATATTACAGAACAGAGACTGGGAGATTTCAATAACTCTGTTAACATGTCGGGTTATATTACAGACACAGACAGGGAGATTTCAGTAACTCTGTTAACATGTCAGGTTATATTACAGCACACAGACAGGGAAATTTCACAAACTCTGTTTACCTGTCAGGTTATATTACAGGACACAGACAGGGAAATTTCACAAACTCTGTTTACCTGTCAGGTTATATTACAGGACACAGACAGAGAAATTTCACAAACTCTGTTGACATGTCAGGTTATATTACAGGACACAGACAGGGAAATTTCACAAACTCTGTTTACCTGTCAGGTTATATTACAGGACACAGACAGGGAAATTTCACAAACTCTGTTTACCTGTCAGGTTATATTACAGGACACAGACAGGGAAATTTCACAAACTCTGTTTACCTGTCAGGTTATATTACAGGACACAGACAGAGAAATTTCACAAACTCTGTTGACATGTCAGGGTATATTACAGGACACAGACAGGGAGATTTCAATAACTCGGTTAACATGTCAGGTTATATTACAGGACAGAGACGGGGAGATTTCAATAACGCGGTTAACATGTCGGGTTATATTACAGGACAGAGACGGGGAGATTTCAATAACGCGGTTAACATGTCGGGTTATATTACAGGACACAGACAGGGAGATTTCAATAACATGGACATTGGAGGTAACATTGGTGAAAGTGGCGAGCCGAGCAACATGGATAGTGAAGACTTGGTACCTAGTTTACAGGTAAGGCAGCACAAGTAGTCGTCAGAAACAACCCCTTCAATACAGAACTGACTTTTTAGAGCACCCCTCCTGCCTATCCAGTTGCTTACAGACCACCCCTTCATAAGCAAGTACTGTACAACTTTTGAGAGGGCCCCCTTTTGCCTATACAATTGAGTCATAGTGACCATCCTCTCCAAACAATTGTGCAGTAATCCCTTTTGAGATTATCCCTTTTCCTTATACAGAAAATTTGCTTTGAGACCACCTCTCATACACAAATATTGTACAGTAATCACCTTTTGAGAGGCCCCATCTTATACAATAGAGATGTCTTTGAGATGACCCGACTCTAGGGCCTGTTAGTTTATGCGGAACAACCGGTATGTCCGTTTTTAAACATAGCATTTTCGGGTATAATACCTGATGGACATGTTAAAGTTTCTGTAGGCCTTGCAAGGCTATGTCAAGGCTCGCCTGAAAACAGCATCAGATTGCTAGGTCCGACCTTATTTCATAAACGAACAACTGTGGTTCATCTGATTCAACCATTTGTATTGCAATAAACGAAAAACGGCCCTAGTTTTTGTCCTTTAAGATTACACATTTATCTTTTACCATCCATGATAGGCCTATTGATCTAGGAAAAAACCGATCAGAATGAAAGTTTAATGAGCCACTAATTGCTCTTTATAACTACTTATGTTGTTATCAATAATGATAAAAACTTAAGGACATAAATAGGTTCATGTAAACTAAAGATATTATAAGAAATAAAGACATATTTTGACTATGTTGCTAAGAGCTTAATATGATGATTGAATATGTTTAAAAATTCTAACAATTTGTTTTTCTTTCTTTTTACAGGAAGATATTAGTAATGAACTCTTAAATGATATGGAGAATGTGTTAAATTCGAACAAGCTTGAAGACAATCTACTGACCTGGTTGTGAGAAATAGAGGTCAAAGTTCATTACATTGGAAACCATCACAAGGTCGGCAGGGGGGCGGAGCCATATCCTGCCAATCATTGCAGCAGGGGATGGAGTCATTTTCTGTCAATCATGACTACAGGAGGTGGAGCCAAACACTTTCATTCATGATTACATTGGATGGAGCTTTCCTCTGCCAATCTTCTTGTTTTTTTATCACTATTCCATGTTGCCAGTTGAAATTATTTCTGGTGAAAGTGTTCACTAGGAGTAACCAATGGAATCATTGTTAAATAATGTTTTTTCTTTTTTTTTTTCGATATGAATTATTTTTCCAATAGACTTTTTTTATAGAATATCAGGGAAAAATATGAAAACGATTTAAAAAAAATATATTTTGTATTCAAGTGTATGATAGAGTATTTCACTCGTGTATGATTGTATTATTGAACTGTTATTATTATCCACATAAACATGGACACCCATAATGTGTGGTTGGTCGTACAATATTTTACCAAGGTTTTGAAATCTTGTATTTGCCGCCCCTATAAAAAGAATCGTATATAACTAAAGCATGATGTGTCAGTGTTATTATCGTATCATTATATGGTTCAAGAGGTGCCCTGAAGTACAAGTTATGTATATTTGTTTCGTGTTTAGAGATTTTTCAAGCATTTTGCTATAGCGTACTTGTGTGTTACTTGGCCTATCTTTTCTGGAATATAATGTTGTTGCATATATATATTAAGAGGCCTACTGTATAACAACAATATCATCAAGTTTTACTGGCAAATATTTACATATTTATTTTGTGCAAAATTGAAAGTTCCATCATGAGAGCTCCTTTCAAAAATTACTTTGCCAATTAGGTCTTGTTTATGGGGAGAGGACTCTCGCATAAATCGAAAAGATGTTATCAAGTTATCTATCTTGATAATGTCTGTCCAGTGAATGGTCATTCATTAGCAAGATTGATAATGTCTGTCCAGTAAACGGTCATTTATTAGCGTATACATTAGCACTGGTAGATGACCAATAGATCTGATGATGTACTAAAGCTCCCCCGTTACCTTGAACTTGGTGATATTGTTGGCAAAACTCGGTTTTGCTGTCCAATCTTTTTTTCAAGGGAGGGAACTCTGTTACCCCCAACTCGATCGTGTTATGCTAATATACTGCTGATTTAAAAAATATTTTTTCACATCTAATAACATTGAATATATTTAATGCCTTGAAATTATTTTACATTTGATACTAAACAAATTAAGGCACAGTATGCATTTTTTATGAACTTTTTCAATTGTTGTATATTTTTCTTAAGAAGGAATGTCATATTTCTTATTTCTTGAATTTCTTGAACTTTAAACTTGGGGCAGGCCCCTCCAATTACTTAGAATGAACTTAAGAAATGAAAACCAATTAACAGACTGTTGTCCTTTTAGATAGCATTTAATCATTAATGTAAAAGTTATTATTTTGGAAAATTCTATATTTTAATCTGGAAAATGTTTTCTGTCCTGAAGACGGTAAAAAAGTTTTATGTAGTGCTTTGATGTTCTTTATGTGTTGACAGTCCTTCACACTATGAAGGATAAAGAAGTTTCTTTTTCTATTGACCAGCAATCAGCAGCCATATGGGATTGAAGTTTTGTTCTGTTCGTGGATTTATTTGTAACACTGCTGCAGAAGTCTTGTAGAAGTGTTTATAGCAGTTTTGGCTGGTACGAATGTTGTCATCTGTTGTCCATCGGTGTAACCTAGACACGATAGCAATGTTCGCTGGTGTAACTTTTAGACTCGATAGCGATGTCCAGCTTTTTCGTGTTAGATGTCCGAATATGTCCAGCTTTTCGTATTAGATGTCCGACTATGCAAAAATGTGTTGGTTATTTATTGGAAAAAAATGGGGTTTTAGAATTTTTTTCTCATTGTTAAATAATTGTTGATTTTTTATATTCAAATTGCAATATTTGTATACAACAACAAAAAAAGATTTAGAGTTAACTTTTTGGTATGCCAGTGTGTATATACTAGTAATCCTATATATCTGTTAGGGTACTTTACCTCTATAATCTTTTTATGACTAATTACATAAAACATATTGATGATGATGATGATAATAACAATTTTATTAATTATTTAGTAGAAATTTGAATTTTATCCTAATATTTCTTGACAATTAGCATGATTGGTATGTAGAGTTAGAACTTAACAAATGTACTATGACAGTTTTAAATATCTTTAAATATTAACCTAAGGTTTTAATTCATTTTGGACTAAGTTTTATGTACTCATGAATGTCCACAGAGTCTTGAGATAATATAGTAATTATGTGTAGTCTCAAAAATATAGCAATTTGATGATAAATTTTAATATTTTCTCTAAGGAAATGGTAGAAAAAAATTCTTTCAAAACGAAAAACTATTAAAAAAAGTTTTATTATGAGTTAGATATATGTAAATGAACACAGGTATTTGGAATATTTGTTTCACCAATTCAGTTAACAGTTATAGTCGGTTCAACCTACAAATTCTGCTTTCTTAGATATTTGATGTGAAGTACGAGTTCCTACTTGGTGGTCACAACAGATCAAAAATGAAAAAAATCCAGTCTTTCTTTTTCAAAGGTTGTTTGTGTACTGACGATGTTCTGTTTTGTGGTTGTAGGAAACACATGCCCTCCAATTTAAAAAATACAGAATGATGCCTTTATTCGTTTATTATATTGATAAACTTTGACATGTAGAAGAATATTGTCAAATTGATTTTACAACGAGTGAAGCTACAGAAATTTGTGTATTGTTGTGACTGCCATGTATGGTCAACACGAGCAAGGCCAATTTTGTGATATAATTCTGAGTTGTCTCCCCTTCAGAGTGCTACCCACATGCTGTAGTAGTGACAACCAAGTACGTGATTTCGTTGTTGTGGTGGTATCGTATAAGTATAGTGTTTTGATACGCAGAGAGCACCTGCATGATAAATTTGTTTCTGAATGCTTAAGCTACGCGCTACCATTTCAAGTGCATTCAAGTGCCATACCCTGTTGAAATACCAGGAGAAAGAAGTCTTCAAAATCCTTGCCCAGTCAGATCAACTGGGCAAAGACAAGAAGGGAATGTGTTCGCTTCTCCATGTCAAACCGTCCAACCAGACTGGGTATATGTAAAATATTTGTGTATTTCGGGGCATTCAGAAATAAATGTTATTCAGCATTTTTATATTTTTATCAATATTTTTTAAATACCGTACCCACAAGGCTTGTCCGCAGACAACTATTGTTGGTACCTTTTGAAAGTTAAATGCAAACTGTCTGCATTAACGTTTCATTACACTATGGGTGGAAACAATATAATACATATTGTTTCTTGTCATGTTATATTACAATGATTCCAAAGTTCACGACTGTTGAAATGTTTTAAGGAGATTTTATTTTGGTACACTGTGGAGACTTTTGATACATTGTGCTTTGGAGCACATTTTTTTACGAGAAAGGCAGTCCGGGATATAAGCCATTGTGTAAGAGAGTATACATTCCAAATGTCCATGTTATTTTGATGACTCCTTGTTTTCTCACGGAAAATAATTTCTCAAGGATGAATTCCTGAGAAAATTAATGTGATGCTTGAGAAAGCAATAAGTGAAAACAATAATTAAAGCATCTGGTAGTAAATTACTGAGAAACTGAATTATGCACACAAAATGTCTTTGTTGAGCATGGTAAAGAAGACTACCACAGACGGGAAAAGTCTGAGAAAAAAGGCTGAAACACATCAATGTTTATTTAACAAGTGTTTTTGACTGCCAAGGGAATGAAGATAATTACATTTCGTTTATAAAAATCCTTTCATCTCGAAAACTGATTAAGTCCTTAATTCACCGGACTAACTCCGCTGTAACTGGAGTTGGCCCCTGAATTAAAGGAAGTGAAAGGATTCCATACTTCTAGTTCTAACCTTAACTGGATTCATATGATCCTAATATTATATTTGTACAAAGTCAAATGTACGTTGAGAATTATTTCCGAGAGGGATTTTTTTTATCCTATCTTGGGGGTAGTAAGGGTTGATATAGTTTTTTGTTTCTCATGATTATTAGAATGGAAAGTTCTTTTTCTGAATAGTAAAGTAACATTAAGAGAGATATTAAAGGTTTATATTATGAGCTGGTGATCACATTTTCCCCTTATGTTCTGTTATAGATGTGTTTTATTAAGTGCTATTGATTTATACAGTAGACATTAATATATGTTTGAATGGGTTTGTGCATAAAAGGTAAAAGAAAATCAAAAGTTCTGTTTAAAACCCCCAGTTAACACTATATCTTCAACAAAACGGCAATGACATGGTGATATTTCATATTAAAATGCCATCAAGTAGGTGCTGATCACAAGTTTGAGGTTAGAAATGTGTGAAAGATTTAACACAAGTCACAATAGATTACCGACATTGATGAGTTGGCTTATGTTGCAATTTTCACTCAACTTAAATTAAAACTTGGCGATTAAAATAAACGTTTATGCACAACCTCATTCTGCAGATTACCCTGTAGTCATTTTAACCCCATACATATTTTTGTCAATAGTTTTGCCCCGTTGAAACCCACCCTGCCCCTCTTTCATTTTTCACTTGTACGCCTCTATCCTCATGTAGTGTCCCATCCCCATGGTTACCGTCCTCGATATTGACATCGAATGGAAGCAAGGAAATTGTAGGAAACTAAGGGAGATCAATCAAAGTGCGGGTCAGCTGGGCTGGCAAAGCTTGCTGGAAAATTGATTAAAAACCAATGAATTTTCATTATTGCGATGTTATACAAAAGTTGGTTGGGCTGTTTTATTAAAGGTACTTCAACTACACACTGTCAATAATACTTGCTTTCTGTCACAAAGCAAATATACATTCCAAAAGTTTGTATTTCTTAGCAGGATTTCTTCTTGTCGCATCTGTAATTATGTAACTGATTGGTGTAAATAGGTTCAAATTATTTTCACTTTATTTTCCTACAATTTTTCATTTGCATTTAACTCCATTTGAAATCACCTCATCTCCCCATAGTACAAGTTTATGATATTTTCTCCCCATAGTCATTTTTTATCAGTTTATTATTTTGTCCATCAGTGAAAATGACATTTTAATACATATATAAATATTATAAAGATTATATATCTTTTGTCTATAAAAAAACATTGAAATGACATTTATAGAGGTCAATATTAAAACTCTGTTAGCACTGAAATGTAAATACGATCTCAACCAAGTTTCACCTTTCATAGATTTACATTATATTCAGTGGTGAGACATTTGTTCATTATATTTGTATCCCAGTTATGGGTAAAAAAAGAAAATTAAAGAGAAAAAAATGTAAATAAAAATAAGCAAAAAGAAATATTTTGTTTGTTGTGATTGATTTAAAATAAAGCTTGTGTGGTATCCGTATTGATGATGTCAACCATACTTTGTAGACCAGATCTTTTGACAAACTATCACAAACAAGCTGCATCTCTGGAATTGTGATTATGTTGAAACAGGCAGAAAGATCCAACGATGATTAACAAACAGGACTTGTACTACTGAAGACTCAAAACATTGCCTTACAATCTTTCTGATGAGAAGTAATTCCTCTGGAGACGGAACAAAATTTACGAGCTTTCTGATCAGGAATACCAGGAAATTCCACTGAAGGGTTGAACAAAAGTTAACAAGCATTCTAACCAGGAGAACAACACTTAACAGGCATTATTCAACTGAAGGGTTGAACAACACTTAACAGGCGTTCTGACCAGGAGTAATTCAACTGAAGGGTT